CTCTGCCTGAAATCGGCCAGGTGCGCCTCCACAGTCTCATCCTCATCAGCGGGCCTTTGTGTCTGGGGAGAGTCCTGGTGAGACTCTGCACACGGAAGGGGGCCACCCTGCTGTCATTTGAGGGGCAGAGGCCCAGGTGCTGCCTAAGGTCACTCCCCAGGGCTGACAGCTCTCCCCTGGACAGACCAGCTTCCTGAAGTGTGATTATGTCCAAAAAACTCTGGACTTCGATTGAGAGACTTTACTAGACAGACTGTTGTAACCGGGAGAAAAGCAGGCTGCCTGACACTGTGCCCCTCTCCGACGCAGCAGAAACTGGCCTTTCTCCCCCAGGGGGAGAGGGAGCACGGGGAGAGGGGAAGCTGCCAGGCAGGGCAGGCACCAGGGTGTCGCGAGGAAAGTGCCCCGTGAGGTCAGCTGCTGCCCAGGAGGAGCTGTACGGGGCAAGATCCACGCTGGAGACAAGCAGAGCTCAGGGGAGGACCAGGCTCCAGTTCGGTCAGGAAAGAGCAGCAGGCAGCTGTGACACGTGCTCAGCCGTGCTGACGTGGCCTCACTGAGTTCACTGTGCAATGGGGACAGCAGAGGTTTAGAAGGAGGCGACTGTCCCATGGCCAGGACAGGGCGAGGACGAGGGTGGCGGGAGCTGAGGAGCAGGTGCTAGAACCAAGCCCAGAGATGCAGGTTGCCAAGGTGAGGTTGCCATGGGAATGCTGCTCCCCACCCCGCCCTCACAGAGGTACCAGTTCTAGAAACACCTGAGCGGCTCTTGACCTTGAGCAGATGGCACAGGCCTCTGAGCTCAGTGTGGCCGGACAGTCAGGACATTTCTCTGTCGGCACAAGACTTGGCCGCATCTGAGGCACAGCGAGTGGGGACATGGTCATGGAGGCAGTGCCAGGCGGGGTCAGCAAGGCCCTGGCTGGGGAGCGGGGTGGTCATTGGAGCTGCCTGAGCCCGAAGTTGCTCTTCAGGTCCTTCGTCGGTAATGGGGGAAAGTGGGCATCTCAGGACGCGTCTGGCTCTGAGTCCACCAGGGCTCAGTGTGCTCCCTGGCACGTTTGAGCCTCAGTTGTGGCCTGGACCTCAGGTGAAGGCCTCTAGGGGAAGGGGAGGGGAGGCCCAGGGCGCCTAGTGTGGTTCTCTCCGTATCTGTGTCCCCTCAGGAAAGAAAGGGGTTCATTCCAACAGTGCTGAACCAGGCAGAGCTGGTGAAGGAGAGGGCGGGGAGGAGTCCCACCAGGAATGGGTAGTGTCCAGAAGTCAGAGGCAGCTGGGTCCCTGTGACCATCCCAGGCCTGAGGGGACAGGGGGAGCAGTAGAGGATCCTGGGGACAGAGAGCCTAGTGCAGCAGCCACCAACAGGGACAGGGGACTTGGTTTGATGGACTGTATGGAATCATGGAAGCAAATGCCCACTTTTCCTCTCTCTCACCCTTGGATCTCCTACAGGTGCTCCTAGGGGGCAGCCAGAGCCCCTTGATGCCACCTGTATGGTGAGCCTTTCCCTCTCATGGGCACAGACAGAGCATGGTGGGAAAGGGGGAGGAGGCCTGCAGCGTCACAAGGAAGACATCCAGCTCATCCTCAAATGACACAGGAATCTCAGTACACAAGGGTGTTTAATACCTATTGAGTGGACAGGTCAGGTATATGGGTGGATGGATGGAGGGTGGAGGATGGATGGATGGATGGATGGATGGATGATGGATGGGTGAATGGATGGGTGGATAGATGAATGGATGGATGGTAGATGGATGGATGGTGGATGGATGGATGGACAGTAGATGGGTGGATGATGGGTAGATGGGTGGAGGTATGATGAATGATGGATGGTGGATGGATGGATGGTGGATGGGTGAGTGGATGGATGGTGGATGGGTGAGTGGATGGGTGGATGGTTGGAGGTATGATGAATGATGGATGATGGATGGATGGTGGGTGGATGGATGGTGGATAGCTCTGAGTGTGTGAAAATGAAGGCTAGAAAAGGGGCATGAGACTGGCCTCCACCTCTTCTATTCAACAGATCCCTTCATGCTCAAAGCATATAAACCATTGAGTAAGGACTCCACAGTTCTTAAGATGCCACACCTCTCACTTCCTTCTACCTCCTCCTGACAGTTGGCCTGCATTAGGGCCAGTGCCTGAGACAGAAGGAAAGGGTAACATGATCTATGCCTACCTTGAAAGTGAGATTGTGGAAATCTACATCACGTAGTATTTTTGCATCTTGCAACATGCAGCCTGCCTGCAGATGGTTTCACGGTCATGTGACTTCCCTGGGCGTATGCGGAGGCACACGCTGCATCACAGGGGACCTTGGGGACCCGGTGTCCTTTCATTCTGCTCAACGATTTATTAAAGAACATTTTTTAATTTGTTACGCACGGTATTTCTTTGCTCTTGATCCGTGGAATAAACAATGCTTTTAAAATGCCAGCGTTCATCACAGGCTCTCCATTTCAGTAGACAAACAACCCTGCTGTTCCTCACCCTTTCTTGGCACACGACTGTCGGCAGCTCTGCCAGAATTTGGAATAGCAAGACGTGACAAGGCACATTTATCCCTGCGCGAGGGATGGTGCGCCATCAATATTTCATGGCAAACAAATGGCCCAATAAAAAACGCACACACTGCTCACCAGGAGGAGCCGCTGGGTTGGGTGTGAGGGCTCCTCTCTGGAGGTCCGTGGGAATGTGTCCCTCAGCCAACGGGGCTTTCAGTAAGCGCCCCTCCACACGCTTCTTCCTGGTAGAGCTGTGCTTACCTGGGCGGAAGTTAGGGGCTGCGAGTCTGTCTCCCCACCAACCGTGAGCCCCCGTATGGCAAGGGTTTGGCCCTGTGGCTGCCAGCATCCAGCGCCATGCCTATGGCACTGAGCCTGACTAAATGCTCCTGGAATGAACATATTTGTGGGCAGATAGCGTGTTTTAGAATAAAGAGAAAATTAGTATCATTCTCTCCAGGAATCTTTGCTTCCTGCTTACATTTTGGTGTTGTGTTCTTTATAAAATGCAAGTTCTATGATTCTCAAAATTCGACGACTTATTGTCTGTGACGATCAAAGAGCTTCGGTAGCTCACCGCATCTGGACCCTGTCTCAGGACTAGGTTAGGGTCAGTTCATTCACCTTCTTAATTACTCTATTTTCCCATGGGCGTGAACTGCGCCCAACCCCGCTTTATTGAAAGCACCTCCCCTGCCTGCGGTGCCTCCGTTCACTCAGAGGATAGTCTGTAAGGGCAGAGGCAGAGACAGACATGAGGACTATGGGTAAATGGCACATGGACTTGTTTTCTTAGGCTCTGCTCACCTGCATGTCACATGGCTCACGTAGACCAGTGCATCTCCCACCTGAGCGTCACTGCGTGAGTCACCTGGGGTCCCAGCCACACCCCGAGAGTTTCGGACTCAGCAGGCCTGGAGTGAGGCCTGAGAGTTTGTATTGCAAGTGCCGTGGGTCTGGGACCATCCTGTGGGGTTAGGATTAGGGTTTAGGGTTAGGGTTAGGGTTAGGGTTAGGGTTTAGGGTTAGGATTAGGTTAGGGTTAGGGTTAGGGAGTAGGGTTAGGGTTATGGGTTAGGATTAGGGTTAGGGTTACAGTTTCTGTTTAGTTTATGGTTGGGTTGGGGTTTATTAAATGCTGTTTCTAATGCTGCCTCTCTCCTGTGGTGGCATAATCTTCAGCTGACTGTCCCGCAGACACCCACCAACATCACTGCTGTTTGCTGCTCTTTGTGGGCGGCCCTACCTCTCTGAGTGATGCTGATAGCGACCTGCCACATTCCCAGGTTAGGGCACAGAGAGCCCTCGGAAAGGCCCCCCTTTCCCTGCATCCCTCCAGGCGGCTGGGAAAGGGAGGAACTGGGATGATCACAGTGGCCTTAGTGTTCACCCCGGTTTATCACCTGCCCTGACACCAGCAGGCTCCTCGGGGAGTCGGGCCGTGGGCCGTCACCACAGCGCGTCCCATAGGCGCCTGCTTCCCCGCTTCATCGGCAGCATCAGCACCTGGCAGTGGGTGACCTCCTTTCCTTCCTGGTCATGCACCTGCTTTGCTCTCTCCCATTCCCACATCCCTCGTTCTCCATCCGGGCAGCACTGTTTCCGTCGCCTCCCACGTCCTCAGTTTTCATAGATTTCCCTGCGGTCCCAGCCTCGGCGCTGGGCCTGATGTGTAAGAGGCATGCCCTTTGCCCTTTGCCTCGAGGAATGGATGAGGAGAGACCCGAGGGCAGGAGTCGCAGGTGTGGGAAGAGGGAAGGCAGAGAAGATGGCCGTGGCCGTGGCTGTGGCCGCAGCATCTGCCCCCTTTTCATGGTTCTCGAGTCTGTCAGAGATGACTGGGAACTCCACACAAAATAGCAGGCGTCTGTCTGGCCTGACTCCCCAGCTGGAGGCGGGCGCGTGGGGTCCCCAGGCCTCATTGCCTGTGAGCTGCCCTCCATCGTGGAAGTCCCTGCCCATGGACACAGCCCGCCCAGCCTCTGTGGCTTCTGCTGACACCTCTGAAAGTGCCATTCTCCTGGGACAAGGCCTCGTGAGGACACAGAGCCGGGACTCAGGCAGCAGGTCTCCAGGTTTGCCGACCCCGCTGGAGGGACACCCGCCTGGGAGAGGCTTGCAAAGGCCCCACTCTACAAAGTGCAGGAAACACAGAAGCTGCGGACCAAGCCCCAGGAGCCTTGAGCAGGCGGGGCCCTGCGCACTGGCTTAAGTGCCTACAAAAGGAAGCCTTCACAAGGCTAAGGCAACATGCTGCTTCCTTCTTCTCTTGTTTCAAAGGACAGAAAATAAATGTGCATCCCATCCGTGTAGGTACATCCCGACCCTGTAGGTGCGTCCCATCCATGTAGGTGGTGTAGGTGCATCCCATCCATGTAGGTGTGTCCCGTCTGTGTAGGTTCATCCAGTCCAGGTAGGTGCGTCCTGTCCATGTAAGTGTCCGGTCTGTGTAGGTGCGTCCCGTCCCTGTAGGTGCGTCCCGTCCTTGTAGGTGCGTCCCGTCCATGTAGGTGCGTCCCATCCATGTAGGTGTGTCCTGTCTGTGTAGGTTCATCCAGTCCATGTAGGTGCGTCCCATCCATGTAGGTGCGTCCCGTCCGTGTAGGTGCGTCCTGTCCGTGTAGGTGCGTCCCGTCCGTGTAGGTGCGTCCTGTCCGTGTAGGTGCGTCCCGTCCGTGTAGGTGCGTCCTGTCCGTGTAGGTGCGTCCCGTCCGTGTAGGTGCGTCCTGTCCGTGTAGGTGCGTCCCGTCCGTGTAGGTGCGTCCTGTCCGTGTAGGTGCGTCCCGTCCGTGTAGGTGCGTCCTGTCCGTGTAGGTGCGTCCCGTCCGTGTAGGTGCGTCCCGTCCATGTAGGTGCGTCCCATCCATGTAGGTGGTGTAGGTGCATCCCATCCATGTAGGTGTGTCCCGTCTGTGTAGGTTCATCCAGTCCAGGTAGGTGCGTCCCGTCCATGTAAGTGTCCGGTCTGTGTAGGTACATCCCGACCCTGTAGGTGCGTCCCGTCCGTGTAGGTGCGACCTGTCCGTGTAGGTGCGTCCCGTCCTTGTTGGTGCGTCCCGTCCGTGTAGGTGCGTCCCGTCCGTGTAGGTGCGTCCCATCCATGTAGGTGTGTCCCGTCTGTGTAGGTTCATCCAGTCCATGTAGGTGAGTCCTGTCCATGTAAGTGTCCGGTCTGTGTAGGTGCGTCCCGTCCCTGTAGGTGCGTCCCGTCCTTGTAGGTGCGTCCCGTCCGTGTAGGTGCCATGGACACAGCCCGCCCAGCCTCTGTGGCTTCTGCTGACACCTCTGAAAGTGCCATTCTCCTGGGACAAGGCCTCGTGAGGACACAGAGCCGGGACTCAGGCAGCAGGTCTCCAGGTTTGCCGACCCCGCTGGAGGGACACCCGCCTGGGAGAGGCTTGCAAAGGCCCCACTCTACAAAGTGCAGGAGACACAGAAGCTGCGGACCAAGCCCCAGGAGCCTTGAGCAGGCGGGGCCCTGCGCACTGGCTTAAGTGCCTACAAAAGGAAGCCTTCACAAGGCTAAGGCAACATGCTGCTTCCTTCTTCTCTTGTTTCAAAGGACAGAAAATAAATGTGCATCCCATCCGTGTAGGTACATCCCGACCCTGTAGGTGCGTCCCATCCATGTAGGTGGTGTAGGTGCATCCCATCCATGTAGGTGTGTCCCGTCTGTGTAGGTTCATCCAGTCCAGGTAGGTGCGTCCCGTCCATGTAAGTGTCCGGTCTGTGTAGGTACATCCCGACCCTGTAGGTGCGTCCCATCCATGTAGGTGGTGTAGGTGCATCCCATCCATGTAGGTGTGTCCCGTCTGTGTAGGTTCATCCAGTCCATGTAGGTGAGTCCTGTCCATGTAAGTGTCCGGTCTGTGTAGGTGCATCCGGTCCATGTAGGTGCATCCCATCCATGTAGTGGTGTAGGTGCATCCCATCCATGTAGGTGCATCCCATCCATGTAGGTGCTTCCCGTCCTTGTAGGTGCGTCCTGTCCATGTAGGTGCGTCCCGTCCGTGTAGGTGCGTCCTGTCCATGTAGGTGCGTCCCGTCCGTGTAGGTGCGTCCCGTCCCTGTAGGTGCGTCCCGTCCTTGTAGGTGCGTCCCGTCCGTGTAGGTGCGTCCCGTCGGTGTAGGTGCGTCCTGTCTGTGTAGGTTCATCCAGTCCATGTAGGTGCGTCCCATCCATGTAGGTGCGTCCCGTCCGTGTAGGTGCGTCCCGTCCGTGTAGGTGCGTCCCGTCTGTGTAGGTGCATCCCATCCGTGTAGGTGCGTCCCATCCCTGTAGGTGCGTCCCGTCCGTGTAGGTGCGTCCCGTCCATGTAGGTGCATCCCGTCCGTGTAGGTGCGTCCCATCCATGTAGGTGCGTCCCGTCCTTGTAGGTGCGACCCGTCCGTGTAGGTGCGTCCCATCCGTGTAGGTGCGTCCTGTCCCTGTAGGTGCGTCCCGTCCCTGTAGGTGTGTCCCGTCCGTGTAGGTGCGTCCCGTCCCTGTAGGTGAGTCCCGTCCGTGTAGGTGTGTCCCGTCCGTGTAGGTGCGTCCCATCCGTGTAGGTGTGTCCCATCCATGTAGGTGTGTCCTGTCTGTGTAGGTTCATCCAGTCCGTGTAGGTGCGTCCCATCCATGTAGGTGCGTCCCGTCCGTGTAGGTGCGTCCCGTCCGTGTAGGTGCGTCCTGTACATGTAGGTGAGTCCCGTCCATGTAGGTGCGTCCCATCCATGTAGGTGCGTCCTCGTCCGTGTAGGTGCGTCCCGTCCATGTAGGTGAGTCCCATCCGTGTAGGTGTGTCCCGTCCGTGTAGGTGCGTCCGGTCCGTGTAGGTGCGTCCCGTACGTGTGTCCCGTCCATGTAGGTGCGTCCCATCCGTGTAGGTGCGTCCCATTCGTGTAGGTGCGTCCCCGTCTGTGTAGAGCGTTCTAGCTAAAAGCTGTGTCTTCGGTTTGGTGGAAATTCATCTCAGACCTTGATCAGGCCGAGAGCATCAGGCAGCCCTTCCTGTGCCCGCGTGGGTGACCATGCTGGGGCACGCCCTCCATGTCCCTCCCTGCACCAAAGGGCACCATCTTTGTTCAAGTCCACAGCAGACCAGCCGTTGGGATTTCCAACCTTTAACTCCTTCTCCCTAAAGCAACCCACATCCTCAGCCTGCTGCCATCTGATCTGACCTTACCCCTCATGGACACTTATGTTACTCACCTACCAGGTTAATGGTGGACACTATTGCGTGTTCTTTTGCTCACCTGCCCTCTCCTGTTTTCTCTGCTTTTAACGGTTCACTTTCTGAGGAGCTCGAAAAAAAATGCCTGCTCTTGTGAACTTAGTCTGCCCAGAAGGGCCCAGGGCACCCGCGGGCCTGTGCGCTGGGGCACCCCAGGTCCTATGCACCCATCTTACCCCAGGTCCTGTGCACCCGTGGCACCCCAGGTCCTGTGCACCCATGTCACCCCAGGTCCTGTGCACTGGGGCACCCCAAGTCGTCTGCACCCATGTCACCCCAGGTCCTGTGCGCTGGGGCATCCCAGGTCCTATGCGCCCAGAGAGCAGACATCTTTTCCCAAGGCCCCTGTGCCTTTTCTGGAGTCACTAAAATGTTTCTCCAGAACTCCAAGCATTTCCTTTTTTGGTTAATTTTCATTTGTGTTTAGCATTATATTTCCTTTTTCTAAAGTAATGCATATTGATGCTTAAAATAGGGAACAACGGTCCCTTCTGCCTCTCAGCATCCCAACCCCAGAATGGAGACCACCTTAACTCTTTTATACCATGTCCCCTGGGAGTAACATCATGTCACCAAGAATATGCTCCTTTTGCTGCTTTCTACTAATTAATTTATTCATTTTTATTGTCCTTTTATTGATTTGAGAGAGAGAGAGAGGAAGCACAACAATTTGTTGTTCCACTTATTAATGCATCATTGGTTGATTCTTGTATGTGCACTGACCAGGGACCGAACCCACAACCTCAGTGTAACAGGATGATGCTCTAACCAAGCCTGAGCCACCCAGCCAAGCCCTTTATTTTCTTTTTAAATGATAGACAAGAAGTTGGCACACTTTCCTCTACACCCCTCTGCCTTCTCCTTATATGTGCATTTTATTTCCTCTGCAGGTTACCTTTATAAACTTAACCTAGAGGCCTGATGCACTAAATTCGTGCAAGAATAGGCCTTCCTTCCCCCAGCTGCCGGCACCAGCTTCCCTCTGGCACCCGGGACCTGGGCTTCACTCTGGCTCCGGCTTTGTCTGAAAGGACTCCGGAATCACATCCGGAATCACGTCCGGTTTAATTAGCATATTACGCTTTTATTATAGACTAGAGGCCCGGTGCACAAAAATTTGTGCACTTGAGGGGGAGGGGGGTCCCTCAGCCTGGCCTGTGCCCTCTCGCAGTCTGGGACCCCTTGGGAGATAAC